GTGATAACGAAGTAAGATTTACTGCTAGAAACACATGAAAAAGAACGAGGCAAACAGACGTCAACATCATAAAAAAAGTCATGTCCATCCATCTAACTACTTTTCTCTCATCCATCTAAGAATCTCATTCCATTCCAGACTAATACCACCTAAGTCACTAATGAATCAGCATATCTCTCAAACATCAAATGCGCCAGACAATTAACTCTGATGCAATAAACAAAAAGTATCAAGATGGATCCATGCCACTAGATGGATAAAAAACATCGAGCACTCTCTTTTGATATTCATGTGTATCAGTAAAGTTGTATTTAAAATGAAAGAATAACCCACATGGAGATTGTACTGCCATTGAGTGTACCAGTAAGAAAGTAAGGAAAATAGAGCATGCAAAAAGTTGCATGCATTATTTATTCAACCCTCCAGGATGACACAACATAAATGTGTGTTGTATTGTGTAGGATGCATGTTAGTATGCCCTGTTAGAAAATTAATATTATGTGGACAAGTTGCTTACAAGGTAATGGATGCGGCTAAAAAATGAGCGACGATAGTCAGGCGCGCTGAAAGATGGAGGAAGGGAGGGAGACAGAAGAGATGAACGAGCGATCAACTGAGAAGTGCATGACACCAAAAAAAAAAAAAAAAAAAATTGCGGTGACGTAGACGTTCTGAATGCTCAAAAGACTTTTTTTTGAACTCACAAGCAGATACAAGAACAATGCAGACTCAACAGAATACTATCAAAAGGATGCCAGACAATCAGCGTATGATTGGAGGTACAAATGGAGCTCTCACGGCATTCTATACTACACACCTATGCAAATGAACTGGACACGGAAAGAGAATGGCTCATGCAATCAGCCAAACCTCTCTCTCTTTTTTTTTTTTTTTTTTTTTTTTTGACGTCAATAGACATACATGGTTTGTACTCGCACATCCTAGGTGATCCTCAAGTGAATGTCGACAAGGCTATCAATACGTTTTTGAAGGAATTTGAAGTAAGGGACTCTTCTTTCATCTTTATACCATTACATCTATGATACACACAGACCTTCACAATTTGCACTCACAGCCTTCTCAAAATATTGATCAAAACACCGTAGACAAAAAAGCGGACATCACTCACAGAGAATCATCAAAGGATAGCCTCTATGCTCAAACAATCATCAGGAAATATCGCGCAGGCAAAGGAATTATTCGATACAGACCTTAATTGTACGAAGCAGAAAGGTAAAAAAAGATTTTTTCTTTAAGCTCAACGGATCATCAATTGACAGACTGAGATACATTCTTCATACTTAATATAGCAAGGACGACCCTTGAAAGGCTTCAGGCTCTAAGCCAGTCCATAAAAGAGGGCGCACAGGTAACAATTATTTTCTTGCTTGACTTATTGACAAGGCCTATAGCTAATTCACTATGTCTTTTTTTTTAGAAAAAAGATAGGAGTATTAGCGCGACACAACGGGCAAAAGAAGCATTTCAAAAGGATATCGATGAAGCAAAAGAGGCATTTGATCAGGAAATGGCTTTACGACATGCGGATGTCGTGAAGCAATATGTTGGCACCTTTGTACAGCAGATCGATCATTTCTAAAAAAAAAAAAAAGGATTCCCAACAGCTGTCTTTCTAGGATGAGCATTTGCAAGGAAACACCCTTCTCGACATAACATGTTGCACGTCCGTTGTACGACGGTCCATATCGCACCAGAATACAATATCCATGATTACAGCATTAACAACAGTAGCAGCACTATAACCGCTGTTATTATATTTGATCCAACTGCATCTTTTTTTTATTGTTATTGTTATTATTTACTTTATTCCTTTCGAGAAACGACCCTGTGCTTAGTGGACGCCAGGGCCATGGCTCTTGGCCTTCTTTTTGAGCTCTTCTTCCTTTTGCTTCTGCTCCCGTTGTAGCTTAGCATGGTCGACTTTCCCTTCAGCAAGGTCGTTGAGATATTGAATCTTGAGTTTGTCCATGTCTGCTTGCGTTGTCCTGCACAATGTCGATTTAAAAGGATAGGTCCCCGATTATGAAACAAAAAGAAGAGGCATTTTTTTTGGAGGTTAATCCCAAATATAAAAAAATGTCTATAAATGAACACGATTCCCATGGAAATTCACCGGGATACAATAATCTTACAACGCCATTAGACATTTGTTCATAGCTTTATGCTGTGCCCTACAGCCCCAGAGGACAGTAACCAATTTTCCATGCGTACATTCGACAAATTCTACAATATTACATATAAAAAATTATTTAGTTATTATCGTGCACATTTTCCTTGCAACTTTTTTTTTTGTATATCACTCCAAGTTAAGCTAGCGCACCTTTAACAATAGGATCACATTCCTTGAGTGCATTCGCTTTTAAGGTCTTGAATAAGTATTCCTCCTCTGCTCTTGTAAGAATATGCATGTTGAATGATGTGATGTGCTTTATTACTTTTGAATGAGTTCAATGTCGAAAGCTGGGCTTTGTCTCTCTCGGGTGTGGCTTTGGATCCGTCTTTTTTTTTTTTTTTTTTTGGGCCTTTAACTCAGCCCCCGACGCGTTCAATACACGCTGTAGCGCAAAATATGCCCTCACACGTGAATCTCATTTTTACAACCAATGTAAATATCACATAAAAGAGATAAAACAGGCGAAGAATTACCCATCAATATTGATAATCCAACACTATCGCAACTAGTAAGTTTAGCGATCTATCATCTATCATTATCATTAACCTGCTTTTGATGAGTCTAATATATCATGCTTTTTATTGTTTATTGTAATTATTAGAAAAAAGTTCCCTATTCCCTTTCTGATCTCCTCTCTATAAGATAGCAGACTTCCCTTTTCCTTTGAACTCGCTACTCTTTTCTTAACCTTTTTTTTTTTTTTTTTTTTTCGCGCTCCTTATCTAAATTAATAAGGAATAAACCATTTTTAGTGCTTCAATTTATTCTTTATCTCGCTTTTCCATACAGATCACGATAGTTATGCGGTCCTCCACCCTTCCTAGGAATGCTTACAAGGAGATGAGACTTGCTATAACCAGTGTCGATTCTTGGCTCGGCTGCTGCACCGCATACTATGTAGCTGAACAGCTCAATAAACACTGTGAAGGTGCTGAGCTCGTTTGCCTCGCCCGCAAGACTGATGGTCTCGACAAACTTAAAAAACTCAAGAACGTCAAAATTTATCAAGTGGATTATGAAGACCGCTCTAAGCTAGAGTCAAGCCTGCAGGGGGTCTGTTGCACTATCCTCATCCCCGAGTTTGACGAACGTCGCGAGGAGCTCGCCAAGAATGTGTTGGATGCGATGGCATCTCTGCAAATCAAGGGCTGCATTATGGTCTCTGTCGAGGGTGCCGGGGAATCTAGATCGGATTTAAAGCATATCAAATCCTATCACGAAATTGAGGAAGCGGTAAAGGCTCAAGTAGACTGCTACATCATCCTGCGCGAGGGGTTCATGAACCAATGCCTCCTTCTCTGGGTATCTGTCATCCGAGAAAAAAAAGAGTTCCCAACAAGCACGACTGAGGATTGTGAGATGGCTCCGCTAGACATGTGCGACCTCATCTGCGCCATTTCATGTCTGTTAATTGACTATTGCCAAAACGGAGACTCTTGTCACTCTGAACCTTCACTTGCACAGGAACAGAAACAGCAACAGCAGTACCTTAAAGATCCGCAAAGCGTCGATTCCCGATCCAGCGCCAGTACCTTTGGGGACCACAAGAACAAGATCTACACCCTCACTGGGCCTCAAAAGCTTACAGTGAAGGATATTGTGGGGAAACTAAGCGAGACCATTGGCGAAGAGATCAAAGTGAAGGAAGTTGAACGCGATGAACTTCGTGATTACTTCAAATCACTCGAAGGAGATAAGGATTGCAGAGAAGAGTTCAATGTTGATCACTTTCTATCATTATTGAGATCTTTCTCTTCCTCTCATACTTTCGGGGCTGTTGAGGCCAAAGGAAGTGGTGATCATGACCATCGAGATGCTGATAAAGGTCATCACAAAGATGGTGACCATCGCCGTCATCTTGTGCCAAACGATGCTGCTATTGACTTGCTTCTAGATGAATTGGACCTCATCCGTCAGGGGGAAGCAGGATTTGTCTCTGGAGATCTGGAGAAAATTACGGGTCATGAAGGCAAGACCATCAAGGACTTTTTTGAAAAAGAAAAAGAAGTCTTCAAACCCCAAAAATGTCAAAACTAGAAGGGACAAAATCCAGTTTCAAGAGTTGACAGTAAATAGTGATATGCAAATGTATGTTCAATTAAAACAATCGTCTTTTTTTGTCTTGTACAATAACGTGCACCATATGCTCTAAGAATGGGCTGAAAGTGAAGAATGAGACTACAAAGCTTTTTTAATTTTTGAAACCAGATCGATCCTATGACATTCGTTTTAGAGCTCGTTTCTGATCCTGACGAATTGCCTCAAGGCCTTTGAATCCATTGCTGTCACTTTAGTTTGATCTCTTATAATTTCCCAACAAGGTTCTTATGTTCCGCCTCTGAAAGTTTCAAAGTTACGAAATGGGAAAGGGTTTGAAAAGAGGATAGCATGCATCCATGCTCTGCCCATGTACTGTATCCACGAATCAAGTATATGGCAGCGTTGATCCAGTCTATCTACATTATGATGGATTCAAGTATGGAGAACGGAAATGGCCGTAATAAACGAAGAACAAGAGAAGGGAAAGCGTGAATAGAAAAAAAGTGGGATCGAAGAATAAGGGATAAAAAAAGTGGGGCCGAAGAGTAAGGGAGAATGGGGTTTAACCTCCGCATATCACTGGGATGCGGGGTAAATTAGCCCCAGGGGGAAGAGAGAAAGATAAATGGTGTGGAGAATTCATGTGCCCGAGGGAAAAGACAGATTAGGATGGAAAAGAATGAGAGGGAGGCTTTTTTGCTTCCCGAATTTCAATTGGGCTCAATAGAGCGTGAGAGAGAGAGAGGGAAAGAGGGAAAAGGAACTTCCCCACATTTGTTTGGATCCAATTTCAAAAATGGAAATGCGGGGAAGATTGAAAGAGAGAAAGTTGTGTCTGTGTATGAAGGGAAGATGGCTCATGCTTGATCTACCAAGCACAAAACCATTCAGTCGACATGTATAAAAAAAAGGGTTTTTTTTTATTTTTTTTATCGCCTTGCTTTACTTGGTTAGTTTTTTATTATTTTTATCAGTTTCAGTTTGTTCATTTCGATGACCCTGTTATGGATGTCCGATAGACAACCCTGCAAGGATACAAACAATCAAAGACAGAAGGAAAATAAAAAAAAAAAAAAAAAAAAAAAAAAAAAAAGAGAAATACAGAGGAAGTATGAGTACAATCATCTATGTAACCCATCTTCAGATTCTGAAGAATTAAAACAATGAGAGGATGGATTGGCATAGTATATACGTATACAGGAAATGGTTATCTCCGTGTGCACATGTGCAAAGATAAATTTCTCACTCTTCTTTTCAATCGCATCATTTTTTTTTTTTTCTGTGTACACAAATTCATATTTATTTAAAATAAAAAAAGGTCATTTAAAGAATGCAATTAATATTCAAGTGTATTTTACAATGCTATTGTTAGCAGTAAGAGTAGTCGTAAATAGTTGTAGCAGGTATTGTAGCAAGCAAGAAGTTCTATGTATACAAGTAATCGAATAATAATAATAGTAACAATAGTAATAAAAAGGAAAGGTCATTGAAAAACACAATAATAAAAGGATATCTGTTGTTCCTTGCTTTCTTCTTGTGAGAATGGAAAGGAGGACATGCGGTCGTTTAAATACACAGCGACTTCATGATATCTGAGAATGGAGGCAAGGTCACCGGTTGTGAGGCGCGGAAGGGCGCCAACACAGGGGAGGCAACAACATTGGTGCATTCTTCTTGGGGCTTTGCATGGGACTCAAGGGTGGTAGGGTTGTGAAGCCCTGGAAATGTTGGATCTGATCATTCTGCTGCTGTTGCTGCTGATGATGATGATAGGAATTATTGCTACTATTCTGGAATTGAATTTGTGTAGAGATTTGTTGCTGTCGTTGCTGTTGTTGAACGTGATCACAAGACTGAGTGTAATGATTCAAGGCATTAGGGACAGGCGAAGATTCGGGTGTGAAAAGAGGCGAGGCCGTAGCATCGGACTCGGTGTCGGAGATGAGCTGAGAAACTGGTGAAGAATTGGCGGTTAGAGGAGGTGAAGGCTGCTGCATATTTGGAAATGACTCTTTTTTGATGTGGGCTTGCACAGAAGGATAGGGAGAAACCCTACTCTGCTGGCGCACCTGCTTGAGAGTTGGAGAAGATGTCATACGAGGAGAAGGCGAAGGAGAGGGGGAAAGAGGAGTTGCTGTGGATGCACGCTGCTGGTTGTTCTCGCCAAAGGCAACCATGACTACCTTCATAAAAGGCTTGATCGAGATGTGACAGAGTGGAGCTGTGGAGCGCTCCTTCTTCGCCTTGGTGGTTGAGTGAATGCGCATATGTCTGGTTAATTCGTCCGAGCGCGAGAAACGTTTTTGGCAGGTTGCAAAAGTGCATTGATGAGGACGTTCCCCTGTATGTGTCCTGATGTGGCGAGTCTGATGTTCAAGGCGGTGGAAGGATTTAGGGCAGATGTGGCATTTATAGGGACGAGGAGCGTCCTGACCGCTTCTAGGTACTGCGGTTGAAGCTGAGGATTTTTGCGGTTTGGGGTCGGGTTTGATGGTCATCATCATGGTCATGTTCATGTTAGTGGATAATGAAGTGTAGAGAAAGTATGAATGTGAGTGATAAATTTGGTCAAGTTTGTTAAGAGAAGATGGTGATGATAGTGAGTATATAAGAGAGAGAGAGAGAGCTATAAAGTATCAAGTAGAAAACATTAGAAGCAGAAAAAGAGAAAAAAAGAAAAAAAAAGAGGAAGTGAGGAAGAAAACGGGAGTTCCTTTATATAAGCGATCAGCTACACTAGCATGGTTATGGCATGGGCATGGGACAAAAAAAAAAGTGGAGACAAACAAACAAGGTTAACAACCGCAGGGGCAGGTTCTTATCTTTCAATCAATTCCAAACTGCTCAGCTATTTTAAATATTTCAAATAACATTTAAATATATTTATTACCAGACTCTTTCCCCCGCTTGCTTTGTGCACTTGCAATCCTTTGGATTCACGAGTAATAAACACACCGATTCAACCCACTTGCTCATTTGCATTCTCTCCATCGAGATAACAGACAAGATTTTGACTGAATAGCATTTTTATATACATTTATCCTACTTTATATGTATATACTTTTTACTGTATCGGAAAACACAGACAGTGGAGGAGCAATTCATTCGCCCAAGCCATACATCATATATATGTCTGCCCTCCCTCATGATTTGCACGCTTTTGTTTATTTATTTATTTATCTACATACATATTTTATTTTATTCCTTCCTGAGAAAAAAGCCGTTTTTGGCCCTTCTCTTCTCCTTGTGGCCTCTCATTCCTTGAACACACACCTGTCACTGCTCCTTCCCTATCTTCCTTTTGAAATAAACATGCCTGTGTTTATGAACCATCACTCTTTTCAAAATGTTTGCTTCATAGCTGTATACGTATATATTATACTTCTTGTTAGAGTATATGTAAGGCCATCTTGCTTTGTAATACGCTGAACTTTCATCTTCACCATTGGGTGATAAGCACTTGCACAGGTTTGTAATCTTCAATGATTCCTCTTTAACCCCTGTTCCTCACTCTCCCTTTTCCTCATAACATCTTAAACAAAAAAAAAAACGTGCTAATGCATAAGCATCGCGACCCTGCAAACCACAGCTGATAAACTAGTGTGGACAAAATTGTGCCATCATGTCTACGAAAAAATAAAAAAAATCGCCCGTGTTATTGCAAAAGTATGTATTATAAAGAAAGAGCGAGACAGGCGGACATTTATATTTTGGATTCCTATATCTTCCTGATCTTCCAGTGCTCTGCCTTTCATCTTGTTTCTTGCTCCTCCGTGATTTCTTTTCTTTTCGTTTTTTATTCGCGTCTATTTACCATTAAGGGATTTAAAGTGAACACGAGAACCTGTATATTATACCATCGCCTAGTTACGCTTAAGCTTATGATGATTTACCGTTAGTCTAGAAGAGGGTCCTGAAGAAGTTGTTTGCATAAAAAAAATAGTTGAATTGAATATATACAAAAGTATATCACACTTCCTCCCCTTTTTTTCCCTCAGGATGTTCCCAGAACTTATTCCATAGTTCCTTGGGATATTGAAACTATGATCAGCTCCTGTCGTCGTTAGACTTCATTGATTTGTGAACTAACAGAACCATTTGAACACGTTCACCAAAGACAGTTTTCATCAAGTGTGCTTGAAGTTAATCATATCAGACGACGCGCTTCTTTTATTTATCCCGAAATGTCACATATGATATTTGTTTATGTTTAGATGCCATAAATAATTGTTTATTCACAAACAAAAAAATAAAATAAAAAAACACTATGCTTATAAAGGCAAGCTCTACTATCACCATCTACGGATTTGACATTGTCGGTCAACTTCCTGAATATTCCATTTTAAAGCAGTATTGGATACATGATGTGTATATACCAACCTTGTATACTACATGCTAAATAAACTGATCATATCGACAACTTATTAGAGAGCTTTCACTACAATCTCTACAATAGTCATCACCATCGCTATTCAATGTACTGATTGATCTCTCATCTTACTCTCTATGTTTCTCCTCCCAAATAATAAATCATAGCTTTCCACTTATCTTTAAGCTTTTTTTTTTTTTTTTTTTTTTTACCTTCCTTTTCTTGCTGTCCTTGGATTCATATTGTATTTTATTCCTTTTCGGCATTCATAATTTCGCGTGTTGGCTGAGATCAAAATTATATGCTCTGATCACCTTGCATTACAAGATCAAGTTAATTTCTATAGACCGCTCGAATATAGTTAAATCTCCTCTAGCAAATCAGCACTGGTCCTTCTTCCGATACTCCCCACTCTGTTCCGATATCCTAGAACTGCAATGTGCCCTTTTTTTTTTTTCTTATTTTAACGTTCTCCCCCGCATTTTTTATTTATTTATTTGTCTGTATGAGCATAAACGTACATCTATGTATAAATAACACGGTGTTTAGACTATTTTGGACTTGGCCGCTCGATATTGTTCACATTTGATGTTGATTGCGAAAGGGAGAGTATATGGCATGATGCATTTGTCGTCATGTTTTTTTTTTTTTTTTTTTTTTTTTGCTTTACAATCTAACGACTTTCCCTTCACTTGTGCGTGCTTGTGTGTGTTTGTGTGTTGCCCACTCGTTTCCAACGTTTATCTAGTTTTACTGATATATATTATATTATATATATATGTATATCATGTTGCTACTCCGAAGTAAATCTGTATTCCAATATTTTTATTGTATCAAAGTCAAAAATGATCACTTTTGGTAATTTCACCACTGAATATGTATATATATACCTATTTGCTTAATGAGCTTGAAGATTACATGTAAAGTGAACCAGTACCCATGTCTAATCAACTCCAGTTCACTATCGCTGTAATTAAAAAATTGTACAAGTTTTATATTATATATGTTAATACACTCATTGGATAAATCTTTCCTTAGTAGAAGGTCTACAATTCATTGGCAGATCGAAGAACCCAATATGTCCTTGAACCACTCAGACTATGCATATTTCGGTATATAAACTAGCCTCTAAACTAAAAAAAGGTAACAAAGCGGGGGATTGGTGATCGAAGCTCGATGAGATAAGCGTCTACTATTATGCGCAATAGGGTACGCACCTTTGTCGCAAGAAATCAGGTCATGTAGCGTCTCTCCTCGCTCCACGTTTCTTCCCTATTATCCAAACGAGTATAGGCACTCATAGAGCAATTGTCAACTTCCATATTGAATGCGGGGCTGAGTTTCAACGTCGACAAGAAGGAGGGGTAATAGGAAAACCCCGGAAACTTTAATTTCCCCATTATTTTCCTTTTTTTTTTTCTTGTTTTGACAAGAAATGGCGTCACACAACTCATAATATATATACATAATAGCAAATTCTTGCCTCATAGGAGAGAATCGGAAGAAAGCTGAAGCTACTCGAGTCTTCGAGTCTATGTTCCTGAAAACATAAGAAGGAAAGTGTAGGAAATGTTCGGAGCTGTTTTCAGTAAGCTCGGGAAATAAAGGTAAGCTTAGAGTAGCATCGATGCTTGTATTACAATACAACAATAATGTCAAAAGGAGATGTTTGTTATTTGCAAATTTGGTGGCGCATGTAAGGAGCGCGTCAGATTTTGACATATACTCGAGACGCGGGTCTTTCACTTTATCTTTCTTCTTCTTGTAGATAAACCTAACAGCTTTGAAAGAAGTCCACCCCGTCCATGACACATAAGTATAGGCGGATCTGAGGTAGTAGGAAACAGATTAACCATTTAGTAATGGCCTTTGTTGAGACTTCAATAGAAGTGGATTTGGGCTTAGCACCAAGTTTCGATCCTTGAGGAAGGAAAAAAATATGTAATTCTAAGGTTATGATTGGTGTAGGGAGCATTTCAATTTAAATTTTTATACTTTCTATCCAATAACTGTCCCTCAACATCGGCATACAAACGCAATGAGTATCTTTTGGCGAAGGGCATTCTCAATCGGCACATTTGTCTAAAAAGAAGATTCTGACCTCATTTGGCCCATAAATCAAATAAACTGTATCGTGGAAGGCTTTCAACATTGTACTTGATGAAGGCGGACTGTGTCACGTAAAAAAATACTAAGAATTTCGGACAGCTCCTACTTCTTACATTTTACGAAGGTAAGAAATCGGTAAATATCGGTAAGCACCTACTTCTACAAAGTAAGAAATCAGATAGTTACCAATACACCCACAAGAGATCCTTAATGAAAATAACTTTTTTTTTTTTTTTTTTTTTTTTTTTGCAAAAGTAAATAACTTGCTTACTTTTACTTTGGTACATCACGAACATTTATTATCTCGTATTTGGTACAGTCCTCCCTTCACAATAGGGACTCTCCACCTCTATTGTCAAGGTATATACTGTATATCAATATGGTATACTGGGAGGAAGAGGGTCAACTATGAGGTCCTCTCGTATTGGAGCAGAATGTCAAAAATTACAGGAAAAAGTAGGATGCACGTTGGGATATCAAACCAGGAGCTGACGAAGGGCTAATACATCAGTCCCTTTCTTTATCTTAGTTTTAAGGAAAGGGTAAAGCTTTAGGCACTCATGTCTTCTCACTTGTTCAAGTTCAACATAAAATTGACGGGATATTCTCCAGTATGATAAATGATATGCTCCAAACGCTATTCTTGTTGCTGGAACCTTCTTTTCATATTGGTCTTTCTCTTCCTCGTCCACGAAAAGGGTCTCGTCGCTGAGTTCATTAGTTACAACTTTAGGATCAGCCATCGCTTGAAGACAAGCCTCGAATGCACTCGATGTACAAGCTGTGACCCCAAGACTAGCCCGAGTATAGAGATCAATCAATACCTTGGTTCTGTGGTTAGGTACCTAATGTGATAACTTGATACTTTACGGATCCGATACATATACTACAAAGATGGGCCACAACCGAAGGATGCTGGCACTTTGGTAGATCCGACGATTAATCACTTCAAACTATCTGAAGCTTCTGCACCTAGACTTGGTTGTGCGATCATGGTATTGTGATATGAAGGTCCAATGCTCAAATTGCTTGAATCAGTGATACATTTGCCGGCTTTTGAAACATTCTGCGCAAATAATAGGAAACAAATTATCGTGATAAACCAGCTACACCAAACAGCTGTTTTAGTCGTTATAGTTTATTGTTAATAGTTATCACACTTTTTTTTTAAAGATGGATGGGATTGACTGATGGACTAGATGGTCTTGCCATCTTTCAAGACTTTGCCCTCATTCACGTTTTGCTTTAGAACCTGCAGACCAAATTTCTTTGCAAATATGAATTCGGAAATAGACCGGGGCATGTATCGAATAATTCTAATCAAATTGGAGAGTGAGCCATAATCGATGTAGCGTGGAGGTGATGATTTGAGGCACTTGCTCACGACATAGGAGGCGAAATTTGCAGTTGGAGTCGAATTCGGAGCTACGTAAACAAAAGAAGTTTGGGTACCTTGGTTAACTTTTGGAAAAAAAAAAAAAAAAAAAAAAGTGCCTTTTGGTCTAATGACATTCACTTCATATTTGCAATATTCCCTATATTCTGGCAATTACCTTGAGACATGTTCGCTCTAGCCATGACATACTTGAACACGGATTGGTAAAATGAACCTGTCGTTTTATACACGCGTTTAATAAAGGAATATACTAGTTTTTTTTTTTTTTTTTTTTTTTTTTTTTTTTTTTGAACTGCAAAGTATATCCAGATATTCCTAGTAAAAGGTACTAACCTGCAGGAAGGCTAAATTTCTTCAAGTTATTGTCACCAATATTGGACTTGATAGCACCTGGAACTATAGTACAGACATGAACACCAAATGGTGCCAATTCCAGGCGCATGGCATCCGATAGAGAATGAACAGCTGCTTTACTAGCAGAATAAAGGCCACCCCAAGGTGTAGATAAATATGCAGTGGCAGAACCAACATTCGCAATCAAACCAGATCCTTGACGAATCATGTGAGGCGCTACTGCTTTAGACGTCAAGATTACCGAAGTGATATTGGTATCAATCAATTGGCGAGTTTGCTCGACCTACAGATAAATAACGATAATAACAGTAACACCAGCAAAAAAAAAAAAAAAAAAAAAAAAAGAGGGAGTCAGTATTACAAATCCATTACTTATTCCTTTCTTTCTAACAAGTTGAATATGCTGAGTATTTTCTCAGTAGGTTTTTACTGCTCTATGACCCCAAGTAAGCTTACAGACATGTCAATGATAGGGCAGGCAAGGCCTATTCCTGCATTGTTGAATAAAATGTCTAGTGCACACAAACATGGTTATATGAATATGGTTGAATGCTTAATTTTAACATATTGAGAGTTTACTTTGTCATTTTATTCTGCCTTAACACATACCAATTCGGCCTTCCTTAGTGATGATGTGCTATATTAGAATATCGGAATTGGGTCAACATAAAACACTTTAGTAAAAGAACAATAAAGAGTCAAAAGTAATAGTAGCTCTACAAGACTATTTCGAATAGTTATTGTATATTACCTCTACAGCCTCTTTGATGGATTGCTCATTCACAACATCAATATAGATTTTCTCAATATCAAGTCCTGTTGCCGAAAAAATATACATTAGTTGCAGCCCCTGAGCAGAAATTAATACCATTAAGCTATTTCTTAATACCTTCAATGTTTGTAATGGCTTCCACGCGTCTAGCCCCAGCATAAACCCTGCATCCGTTCTAGTTGTATATTTACAAGTGTAAAGTAAAAAAGAAGGAAGAATTTTTTTTTTTGACTATTAGAATCTTCAATAATACATGTTGAACTCAATGTGAAATGTAACAGAATCATTTACTCTTTCGAATGACTTGGCAACTTCATAACCGATGCCTCCAGTGGTGCAACCGGTGACGAGAACAACTTTCTTTGGCTGAGTCATGGCGAGATTTTCGTTGGTTTTTAAGATAGAGAGAAAGAGAGAGAAAGAAAAGCATCACATCCCTGTTCTTATTGAGTGCATGCTCGGTTCGTTTGATGTTCTGTGAGCACTGATCGGATAAATTTTGTTTAATACTTCTCACCCAACAATCGCTCATTTGGCCAATGATGATTTGTATACTGTACATGTACAGTCACCTGAAACAAAGATTGGACAAAAAAATAAAATATTGAAATAGTTACGTAGGGAAGCGTTTCCTTCAATCTCTTTCCTTCCTGTTTTTCACATACAAACAGCTTGAGTAAACCACCATGGCGAGACACTTAGACATTGAGAATAAAGGTATCATCGTTGGAATGCACCTCGCGGGCATGAAGGCTGCGGAAATCGCATTGCAACGCGGTGTACCCCGAACCTCTGTTATTAATATTATCAGGGTGTACCAAGAAAGAGGCACCACTGCTTGCACTCCGATCCCAGGACGGCCCAAAGTACTAAGTGAACGGGACCTCAGGAGCATCGTTCGCCATACTAAGCAGAATAGAAGGTGTACTCTTAATGATATCACTAACCAATTGCCGAACAAAGTTTGCGAGAGGACAGTTGCGAAGGCATTGCATTCACTGGGTATTTTCAGCCGGATTGCAGTAAAAAAACCATTCTTAAAAGAAGGACATATAAAAAGGAGGCTGCAGTTTGTCAAAAAATATATGAGTTGGTCCATGGAAGACTGGAATCGGGTAGTTTGGACTGACGAATCATCATTTGAAGTTGGTGAGCATTTTCGTCAAATAAGAGTTTGGCGTAAAGTAGAGGAAAAGTACGATCATGATTGCCTCCCACCCACTTTCAAAAGTGGTAGAACAACTCTGATGGTCTGGGGGGCGTTCACAGCAACCAGAAAGTCTCGGTTGGTTGTATTTGAAAGAGGTCGTAAAGATGGACGGTGTTTCGTGGAAGATGTATATCAAGGCGAGCTAGCCAGATTTATGGCTGAGGTAGGGGATGGCATACTTATGGAGGATAATGCTCCAGTTCATACTTGTAAGATTGCAAAAGAATGGCGCGAAAAAAACAGCATCCCGAGGATTCCAGACTGGCCTTCATGCTCCCCAGATTTGAACTCTATTGAACATGTATGGTCACTTCTTGCGGATGCACTCGATAGGCGCGCTAAAGGGCCAAGAGATCTTCCCACTCTCACACGGGCTCTTATCGAAGAGTGGAATAATTTACCGCAAGAGAGGCTGGCCAGCCTTGTCGCTACCATGCCCGAAAGGCTGGAAGAAGTGAATGGGGTCGATGGTAGGAACACTCACTATTGAACCTACATGGCACTTTTGCTACTCTAACAATGCCGTCTTCAAAACCCCAATAAATAACAGTATTGACCTCTTTAGTGAGCATGTAAAATTTCATGTGTATTGATGAAGTCTTTATGTATGTTGCATATGAGCTGTTTGTCCAGGTTGTTCAAAAAAAAATCAAGAAAATCCATTTTGTCCAAACTTTATTTCAGGTGACTGTACATCGCTCCTCCATTTTGCTTTGTTGATTGACAAACTACATTCTGATACTAAAGAAAAATATGACTTTTCATTACCCAGAAACAGCGCAGGAAGACCCTTCTATTGAAGCGCTGCGCAGAGAGTTGGCAGCTGTTTCGCTAGTGCTCAGAAACACACAACAGGATCTCAAGGATGTTGAAGATAACCTCGCATACATTCAAGCAGAGCGCAATACAGCACTATTCAGTCTCGCTGAGACCAAACTCGACCTGCAAAACGCCAGAGACGCTCTTGCCAATAGTGAGCGTGCACGCCGAGAGGCCAATCAGGATCGGGTCATTTCTCGCCCTTGTAAAGAGCAGGAAGTCTTTGTTATTTTAAAGTTTCAAAAGCCTCAACCATCACCTGTCGGAGGATTTCGCATCTTTGCACAGCAACGAAAGGTCGTTGACCGCAGACTGAAGCAATTCATTGCTGATAACCCTGAGCTGGATGCCGTTGATGTTGAGGAGTTGCGATTTGATCGTTCGCCGAGGGGAGAAAACGTCATTCAACATATGAGGCGCGATAAAGATGCCCCAATCAAGCTCAGTCGTCGCAACTTCATCCTCAAGGACGGCAAGACGGAGGATGAGATGGTTGAATATATCACACGAGTTTTCAACACCCATACCCAGGAGAACTAAACTGTCCAATAAAGTAATCTTGACATTTCACACAATTTCTTTTTAAAAAGATATTGTGCTGCTGAGGTAAATTGTATTTGTAATGGGTGTTCCCCAGCAATGTGTGTGTTCAGTAGGGAGTCAATGTTTTTTTTTTTTTTTTGTTTGCATCTGCCAATCCTTATTTCTGAGACGAAAGATGACAAACAATTGCCCTTCCCCAATTGACCAATTGACGGAAGTTATTTTTTTAAACTGTTGTCACTTTTATCCTTTAATTGATGAGATGAAAGAGTCTTGTAAACAGGCATACAGAGAAGTATATTTTATATGCTTTTCATCATTCCAACGACTTTTTTTTTTTTTTTTTTTAACCGAATGTGTCTCGCTAATATTGATCTCAATCCATAATATATGCTTTTTAGTCTCCTTTTATATCCTCTTACTTTCAGTCAGCATGCCAGCAATATGACGCCATATTCAAAAAATATGTATATTTGTGTAAAATATCAAAGATCACAAATGGGTCTATAACACTCTCAAGATTGAAATAATAATAATAATAATAATAATAATAATAATAATAATAATAATAATAATAATAATAATAATAATAATAATAAAGAAAAAAGAAAAGAAAGACTCTTCTACTCATCATCATTTAATATGTCCAAACTTACTCCTCGATTTGTTGCGGACAGGGGATGTAGGGAAGTAAGTGGAGGATGTGGGAGAGGTATTAGCAAGTGGGCTTGTATTGCCATTGGCCAGGACAGCCGTAGAAGAGCCTGATGTTAATGCAGTGGCTGCTGCGGTTGTGGTGATTGTGCTGGATGAGGCGAGAAGACTATTGAGGCTATTGAC